TCCGACCCTTAATCTATGAATCTATGAATCTATGACCTAAGCATAGTAGAACATCATTTAGCTGTACTAATTGGGACTGACCCCTGTACAATTATGAAAATATGGATTAACTAATAACTGCATGATGTAATGGTTATACCTGCATGCTCCTGCAGTGACACAAGTGTGGCAAAACCACTGCAATTTAACTCCCATTTCATTTGGGATCAAACTTACAGCAATTTAGCTCTTTTGCATCACTACAGGAACATGCAAAGCTAACAGCTACAGCATAACAGATGATGCCACTACTACCTCTCCCTTTTTGAAATGGTTGAAAGTTACCCATGTCCATAGCCAAAGACTGTATTGTAGAGTACTTTGTTATCCTACAGGGTAATTGAGAAATGTATTTTGTCAGGTTCTTACAAGGAGCAAGAGATTTCCTGGTTAAAAAGGAGAACAATTTTTACAGAAAAAGAGAAGAAAAGAAATGCACTGCACAAGCCATATGCAGCAATATGCAGCTGACTGGACATGCAGTTGTTCAGCAGCAATGTTAATAGCATTGTACTGCAGCCTGATAGTCAGATTTGAAAGATTTGTTCAGAGAGGAAAAACAGAACAGAACGTGGAAGTCTGTTAAACTGACCTTGGCCAGAGCCACATTTATGACATAGTCACATTGATCAGGTATAGACATGATGCTTTGATTGGTATAAATGATTGGTAACAGCTCTATACCTGTAACAGAAGTTCAGCACACAAAACTGGTTTAAAAATGGCAGAACCCACCCTAAGATTTGCTCCCCCCTACCCCCCGCCCCGGCCAAAGGAGGAAGGTATGTTCTGTTCACTATAAATCCAAACTATGCTGCTTACAGACAACAGCATAATTTAGATAGATACCACCTCGAGCTTTTTAAATATATACCTAGCCATTATGTGCCCAGCTTGGAAACTAACTTTTAGAACTGGCTAACAATGTCTCTGCCTCCATATTTTCATCGGCAAGATGACGGTAACAACCAAGGATCCAGGTTTTCTGTTTCCTATGGGGAAAAAAAGCAGATTTCCCCTTTCAAAGGAGAAAAGTGCAGATTTTCCCCTTTGAAGCAGGAAAACATGGGTTTCCCCTTTTGAAAACAGCTCTCTGCAGGCAGGCAGAGTCCCAGCCTGCAAGAGCTACTTGAAAAAGTGTGGGAAACTCTAAGACCTGTCTGGAGGAGGCAGGGCTGGGGCCTGAGAATCTAAGTCATCCAGGGCTGGCTCTGACTCACTTTCCCCGCTGTGGCCTTTGCAGTAAGTAGGGTTTTTGCAGGCTAGGCCTAGGGGCAGGGTTCTCAGGCAGGGCTGGGGGCCTGTGGGTCAGGTAAGGGTCATGCTGCCAGGAGGGATGGGGCCTGTGGGGACAGCCAGCATGGTGGGGGGGGGCAGGGCAAGGGTGTGTGGGTGGCAATCACCCTGTCTCATGCAGCAGCTGCCCGTGTGGCAGG